ACACAATTTCAATTATATCGAGTGCTGTCCGGGCCGAATCGAAGCCGTGACAAATGCCAATGCCTATTGCGGGATGGATTTACACGGCTTCTGCGGCAAATGGAAGTCATTTATCAAAACCAAAGGCGCTGACTCGGCAGCCATCACCTGGATAAGAAGATAGGAAGAGCCCGGAAAGCCCAGCCAAGGACCTTTTGTTTGATTCGGTGTTGCCATTTCGGGTTGGCTGTGCTGGCTGGCTGCTTTGGTCGCTGACAACCGGAGATAAATACGCACATACAGGTCATTTTATTGTCGTCCGTTTTCCTTCGTTTTCGGTGCGCATGGGAGTCCTGGCGAAATCCTGGCGAAATCCTTGCAGGGAAATCGGTGTGCTGTGCATATTTAATGGCGTATGCAAATGCAGAGGGTCCAAAATGGCTCAAAGGCTTGTATATTTACGAGTCCAACAATGCCACGAAAACATATTTAACTCGCTCGCATTGTGCCTTGTATCTTCGGTTATCCACCATTTGTAAGCCATGCCGAATGTCACAGGACATTCCACAAAACAAACCACTTGGCCCTAGTTCCCTTCTCCAGCCACCTTAAAGACCCCAATCCGCATTATACTGCGCAGCTGTCCTAAATCAAATGGCCCATATTTTTGCCTGTCACCCGATAGGACGTCTTATCGATGGGTCTTTTTTGACCTAGTTTACCTAAAGGAAATACCAAAATAAAGCCCATTCATCTCTCTCCACAATAGCTGAAATGGCGATTAGGGCACTTTAAATAATACATATACAACATTTCGTACAGGTATATAAGCTACAGTGCTCTTTTATTTATATACACACAATACAGTGATAGGAATGAACTTTTTTAGGTTCAGTCGAAATATCTCGTAGTTTCGATGGTAAAATGAAATTCCGAAAATTAAATGAAATTTTATCGAATTTGCGCACTTTACAACAAATTTACCTAGTAATCAACCTAATTTGTTGCGTTTTTTGGGTTTGTGTTTTGATGAACGGCAGGTGTGAAACATTTCATTGCCCAAAAATAACGACCTCTGTGAATTTTCACCGCCCCCAGCGGTTGGATATTTATTGTCTAAACGAATCTGCCGGAGTGCCTCGAAATTAATGGCCGTGGCAACTTGAAAGCAGTAAAGGGACCAAAGGGAGGACTTTAAAGCCAAGTTACAAAGTTACCTGGCCCTCGGCTCATTGGACCGTTCTTATCGATTGGGTTCGCGCCTTAATTATGAGTGGGGCGAAAGAGATTGGAGCTGCCCATGCTTTTTCACTGATTGCACAACCGATGCTGATTGATGGCACCGTGTCAGTTAGATTAATCGACTGGTCCTGGCTAAGCGAAAAACTTAAAGTGCACCAAAGGCGGATCCAAAGTGCACGGGCACTACATGAAAATCGCATTTGCTTCTTTTATGGCCAGAGTTAATTTGGCCTAATGCATTCTGCGGACCCAACTTTTGGGGCGTCTGGTTTAAAGCCTCAAAAAAGCTGGAGCTCGAGCATTAATATTAAATGTGCCCAACGGCTTGGAGTTTTGGCTAGAAGAGCTCAAATCATGCGCAACTTGAAACAAATTGTTGAGCATTCCGTTGGAGCCAAGGTCCCGTCCCAAGACTTGGCAATACTCGTATATGTCAGCCAAGTCAAGCCAAGGACTGGCAACAAGTAAGCAAACATACAACAATGTCTTGGATGTGTGCATTAAAAGTCAATGACTCGGCAAATGAATTGCAGGCCCAGGCAAATTAAATTAGCGTAGCGTCTTGATGTCCTTGTGGGCGACCCTAAGTCGAAATTGTTTTTATTGAAGGATAGGGCGAACCCGAAGTACGGCTGTCCACTTTATGAGTCGAATGTAGCATAACATATTTAAGTTACCTGGCGTAAAATGCGCCAAATGGTAATCAATATTCCGCGAGGCCGGACTTAATTAGTCAAATCCAAGGAATAGTATGGTTTCTTGGTCCTTGGTCAGCACCAAAATTTATGTTGGTTGGAAATAATTAAAGTTAATTGAGTATAAAAAGTTGGCGGAAATTGGATAGGCCTGCACAAGTTCCATTAAATCTTTGGGCTGAAAGCTGAAATTTCATGCGGTGTGTGGTGGGAAATTAAAATACTCAGCCAGTGTCGATTTCACAACCCAGCATCTGACATAATTGCACTGCCAGCCAGTTGTCCTCTAAGCCAGCTTTAATATGTTGGCAAAAGACACAAAGAGAGCGGGCTAAGAGAGGGCTTAAGAGAGCGAAAGAGCGGTCCTGCGCAGCTGTTGCTGCGGATCCTGTTGCTGCTATGCCCCGCCTGCAGGGCTTACGTTGCGTATACGCAACGATACGTTACTCATACGCCCCGTAGACCCAAGCTGAGACCAGCTGGACACAAAGAAGGACGAAGGACTGCCAACAGTTGGCGGCATCTAACGCATTCGAACGGTACTCAACCGGAAGTGCGACTTACAAACAGCCAAAATCCACAGTCTGGCATTCTTGGGCGTACATAATGCATATATACGTATATATATAGGGATAACCCCTGGGCGCATTGTTCCCAAGGCATTATGGAACGTGTCTGGGCATCTCTTGAGTTTTGTTGTTATTCTAGGGTCGAGAGGTGTTCTTTGGAAGCACTATGAAGGCGCTCGCAAATTCAAATCCATAAAAGTGTCATTAGGGTGGCGCATAAAACACAAAAGGTGCGCCCAGAAATTAATTAAAAAGGCAAACTGAAGACCGGAATTAATGGCGCATAAGATTTATGCAAACAGGCAGTTGCCTTTTTGGAAATATCCTTGCTGAAATGTATTGGCCTTAAAAGTGTTTCGATTCTACGGCCAAGACTGCACGGCCACTTCACTGGTTGTTCTTATTCGCTATATAAATAGTTGTCTTTCCCCTGTCGCTCTTTACCCAAGAACAGAATATTAAATTTGTTTTTGTGATGGGGCGAAAAGGTCAGGCGTTTAATTTTGCACGCAAAAATTAGCAAAAATAGAACTTAAATATTTATACAGACCGAAACACGTGGGCGCATTCAAATTAGGTTGTCATGGGGTAACAAAGGAGTAATGTCCTCGAAAAACTCGTGTAAACGGAATGGACACTAATGCCAGACTTTGTTTACGTTTTGAGCTTTGTTTGCCCCATAAAACAGCAGCCCCAACGAATGTCAGAATGTCCAAATGAAGTTATTTGAGTGTGTGTTCGGCAAACACACACACAGATACTCACCCACACTCACAGAATTGTGGGCAATTAAGCGATGTGCTTAAGCCTGATGAGGTTTTCACCGCGAGATAAATATCCGAGCAGCAAAAGAAAGCCGCCCGACCACATTTGTCAGTCCAGCCGAATTAATAGTACACGGCAAGAAAATACTTAAAAGCTAATTTTTTGTAGTAGTTGAATATACCTCTCGGTATTTGTTTAACAAAATTCAGTGGCATTTAACAGAAGGGAAACTACTTTAGTGCTTTCAAATAAATTTTATATTTGTACAAGTTTCTGAAAAGATACAGGCTTCCCAGAATTAAATCATATATGCACAATATTATTATAGAAATTTCTTTCACTCTGTGCAGAGGGATAAGCATATGTTTTGTGGTCCTGTCGAGAGTAATAATTGCGCAGGCACATTACGGTTATTTGCTGAAGTAGGCGCAAGTATGGGATTAATTTGATTACACTCCAATGAATGGTTGTGTATTTGAGAACCATTTCGATGAGTACAAGGCACAACGTTATTTGTGTTTGAATAAGGGGTTATTCGCACCGATTGTATTGACCCCTTGTCAATTTCGTGGAAAGAACAGTGGCAAACACTTGGCCACAAGGAGAGCCATTTCATTAGAAGCTAAACATAAATTAGCTTTTAAGTCGATGTTAGTTGTATTTGTCTGCTGTCTGTTGCTTTGTTTAAAGTTCATAGAGCGTGAAATGCGAACAAGTTAATTGAAATTCCTGCAGCGTTTCACGTGCGATTGTTTGTTCTCGAAGGACACAACAAGAAAATGAAAACTCGCTCCGAAGGAAAGCATTTCTTTTTTTTGCAGCTGGCTTGACTTTTCCTCTCCGAACTCCTGCCATTTCCCTTGGCTGAGCAAACACTTAGCCGGTGTGAAAAAATGTAGACAAGTGTAAATTTATATTCCCTTCTGCGGGAAAGGGGGGTCCTTGGCCACTTAGAGCTACTCGCCGGGAAATGTGAGAGCACGGTGTATAACTTTGACGTGAGCCATAAAGGAATTTAAATATTTCTCCAGGAGAAAAGCTATTTGCATTGTTTATTCAGCATAACTACGAGCAGACAAGGTATCTGCTGCTCAGTTTTCCAGGGTTGGTGAAAGTAGCAGAAACTAGCAAGTTTATTGCACATGAGCGCCAAACTTTTGCAATCCGAAGTCCAAATGTAGCGCTATAGTACCTCAGCTGCCACTATTCCCCTACATTTTCATTTTACTGGCCTGCGATTTGCATATTTCACATAATGTGTATATAAACAAACCGTATAGTCGCTAAAAACCACACCGCATCAAAATGGCCCCCGGGAATTGCGTCAAAACGGGAATGTGTTGCCGCATTTTCATACAACTCCATCGAGATTGGCTTATCTGCACACTGAACCAAAAATATGGCAAAAAAGTGGGTTTATTTAGTTCGGTTTTGCTCTCGCCACTGCTAGAAAACAAGTGAATGGGATAAATAATTCGGGCGTAAAATCCGGAGTATAAAAAGAAAAAGCTCTCATGTAGACAGTATACCTGTCTGTGCCCATATTTTTTGAACTACTAAATAAACAGTGGTGGCAAAATAAAAATAGTATAATAGATTTGGAATATATGAGACTTGACGCTGGAAATAAGTTTTTAAAATAAGTTTAGTTTAATACTTATAAAATTTCTAAACTAGCGCAGGGAGTTTTGCTTGTAGCCTTTATTTTGTATTAACATGTAACAGAAAAGTTGACATACAATAAAAAATTTCTGAAATTAAACAATGACTTTAATACTTTCGCCTGGCGATTTGAAACTGCAAAATGTTATGCTTCTGAATTAGGTTGTGTACCTCAATTTTCTCTAAGATATGAAATATGGTGGTGTTATAGAAGCGCTGTAGTACAGCCATTTCCAGCTTCGCAGGGGTCAAGCTATCTCTATCCAAGGTCATGCCCATGACCTTGATGGCTACATCCTTGGCTTCCTCGAGCGAGGGACTTGCGTAGCCCTTGCTGAATAGTTCCTTCTGAAGCATTTCCATGGCCGCCCCTGATTTGCGGCCAATGCATGTGGCCTTCCAGCCACTGTAGTTCCCACTGGGATCGGACTGATACAGCTGGAACCCGAAGCGGCAGTCCCAGCCCATGTACAGAAAGGATACCCCGAAGGGTCGCTTGCCGCCGTATTGCGTATACGCCTGTTTGATGTCACACAGGTTCGTGACCAGCTGCTCGCAAGGAATCATCTCACCGTAGGTGCTAACATATTGTTGGGCGATCAGGCGCAATTCGGTGGTCAGCACGTTTCCATCCGCCTTGTTGCCCGTGGCGCAACAGGCAGCGTCCTCGTTCAGCCTGCAGATCCTGGGCGCAGGAATGCTCGAGTCCAAGAGCTTGTCCACGCTTCGCTCCGTAGCCAAAATGACTCCGTTCTTGGCCAGGATGCCCAGGCAAGTGTTCGACTGCGAAGCGGCCTCCATCGCGTACTCTACCTGGTACAGTCGGCCCTCAGGCGAAAAGATCGTGGTGCGGGAATCGTAGAGACGCGCCATAGTTTGGTGAAATATAATAATATGTAGTAGAATACTTGAAGCCTGGATATGGATCGATTGCTTTAAAATATGTAGGGTAGCAAACGAGAAGTTCCCACATACTAGATTTTTTTTATATTTTACAGTAAAAATATGATCTGTATAATATGTAATTTCAGTTGCATTATAATGCAGGAATTGCATTAAAATATAATCTTTACTTAATATATTGATAACAGCATTTTGAAAGTACAGAATGGTCTTGTTGGGATTGCCCTTATTTTTAAGTCCAGCAGTCCATGCATTTTTGTTAAGTAAAAAATTTCCAACTGCTTTTCCATTCCCTTTAAGCATCATTTATTCTCATTTTCCGCAGCGAAAAGTGTTTGTGGCTTTGGGGATTATTGCACAAAGCGCATAAACTTATTAAATATGCAAAATGCCTCTTATTTTTCCTCTGGTAAATGGAAAGGCTTGGCTGTCAGTCGCAAATTTGAGGCACAGCTCTGCGTTATGATAAATGATTTGCCAGCAGGGAGTTGTCGAGCGGCGCAGGAGGCATAAATTATGAACGGGGCCAAAGGTCAAAGGTAGAGCAATGCCTCTGGGCCACAGACGCTACTCCATTAATGTCAAAGAGCTCTGTCACTTTTCCAATTGACTGCAGTCGGCAAACTATCTTAATTAGCTTCTCGCTGGCCAACAAGTTCATTCAACATCTGGATTGCCCTAACCTAAATTTTCCTTATATAGATAAGCTGAAAAGGATGTCGTGCCAGTGCAGTATAAAATCGAAGATCCACACTACGATCCCGATTGGTGGTTAGGCAATGGTAATGGGTCTGTCTGGACGCTCCACTCCCAAAAAAAGGGAATGATGCCACTCCCTGGTAGACGGGGAGAAGTGGGTCTTAAGTGGAGTGCGCCAAGTCGATTGGAAAGCAATTCGCTTGCCCTTGCCATGCATAAAATATGAGGCAACCGGGGCCATAACTCAATTTGCTGCTACATGCAGCAAATCCCCCTCCATCGCCCGAGTTGTGGCATCATCATCAAATCGAAATCGGTACCGGATTAAAAATAAAATGCCCGTCTGCAATTCGGTTTAGTTCAAAAGCCCATCAAACTCATTACGTAGCATTCAAGCCGGACCATTTTGGCCACGTTTCCATATTTTTTGAGCCGCCTTCTTTGTTTATTTTTTGACAGCCGAATCCCCAAACGTCGAGCGTATGTGACAGAGGATTTAGCACTCGGCGCCAGCTGGACTCAAATCAGCAGAAAAATGAGGCAAAGAGCTGGTGGTTATGGCTGATTATGATGCGCCCCTTGTAGAACACACACGCCATATGAAATATGAGCGAGTGAGAAGAGCTGAGCCGGAAACGACCCTCATCAATATGGATTTTGTGACGGACATGTGGGCCACGTTTGCGCTAAGTGCCAGTCCAAGTTGAATTGAGTTGAGTTTGTTAAATTAATTGCATAAATAATTTACATAGTAATTACACGCAGTCCTGCGAGAAAGAGGAGTGCAGACTCCCCTCCGTTTGCATATAAATCAAAATGCTAATGCAATCGAGTCGATATTTGCATTTTACGTAATCTTGCAAATCCGTAATTACGTAATGCAGCCACAAGCCGATTGCCAGTCGCAGTCGTTGAGCTTTAATTGCGTTTCCGTTTCCGTTCCGCTGACTCATCGAATATTAACCCCACACTTTTGGCGCGAGAACTAGAATTTCCCCCACTTGGCTTCCGGATGCCACAAGCGACATATATATTGCATGAATAGGTAAAGTGGCTAAGTTAACGTCTGAAAAGAGGGTGATTTTTGCGTCACTTAATGATTTAACTAATAGCTTTGATCATATGTAGCAGATTAAGCAATTGGTCCCCTAATTTATGATGCTTGTAAACTGTTTATCTAACTTAATCGATCAATAGAAAAATAAATTAGCGACTGCTCCTATTCTGCTCCACTGATTACCATTTTACAATCAATCGCGTAGTCATAAAAATGTTTAAAGATCATTTACCAAGTGGCGATGTATATATATGTTAATCTGCTCAATCGATTGATCATCGGCCATTTCAACATCTCAATCGATCAGGGCAGGTCGAACAACTATTGCATGACCACAATTTAATGGCTTAGCATATGAATCGCATTATGGTTTTTGTGTCTGGTTGTCTGTCCATCTTGGGATCAAAAACCATACTCTTCGCGTATCAAATGGCAAGACAAACGATCGACGCTCTTTTAATGCGCATTGTTGGGCATAAAGAGGCGTCGATTAAAAATCAATATAAATACATCGATTGCTATTATGAACGCTCTACAAAGGAAGCTCTGGACATGCTTAATAACTCGTATGCTTATAGAGACTTGTATGCAAATTACTAAGTGAAGAACCCAACCCATGTAAAGTGAGCATTCATAAAGTTGATTTATGCAGTCGAATCAAGCCGCATTTGCATAATTATAATGGCGTGAACAGCCAAAGAGTCGCCCCAAAGTCTAAGCCCGAAAACACGACCCACAAATCTATCACTGGGATCTCTTTGGTGGTCAAGAAAAAATGGCAAAGATTGCGATGGACCCTCGTTTTTCCAGATCTGCTGGCACCTCGTGATCGATCCAACTGGATTGCCAAATGCATAAATCACGTGCCAGTGCCGAAAAAATAAAAACAGCATCAGATCAGAGAATGGAGATCGGAGAACGGAGAATGTCTGCGACTGGCTTAGCTTACTAGTTGGTAGAAATTATGTAAATGCTTAAGACTAGACCCTGATCTTGAAACGAGTCGGCGGAGCAGAAGCTCGAATCACTTCAGTTTGCTGCTGCGCTAACTGGAGATCGGTCGAAAATTTAGAGTGGGAGCTGCCCCTCGAAAACAACGTGTTTTGGATACAAGTTTACGGACCATGTACAGGACTTTGGTTTGGGTAAGCTCACAGCCGAAGTAGGGTTTCAATGGATACAAATGCTATTCATGAATCGAACTTGTTCGAATTCATTTCATATTTTCAAATATGTTTCTTCCGTGATTCATATAAGATCTATGAATTTCTAATCCGTTGGATATTCAGCTTTTATAAATAGTACTGTGTTTTTGAATTTGTCAGTGATAATAAATGTTTCATTCTATTCAAGCTCAACTGAACTAAACTAGTTGTCAACCTTTAAAGTATTCTTTTTTTTTACATTTTGCAACAAATTAATTCGGCTCTTAAGATAAGGCGGCTTGTTTATTTAAAGCCAAGGCTTCGCATAAAAGCATTAACGTTTTAAGAGGTCAGACATTCGCACGCAGTTTGTTTGCTTATTTAAATATATTATTAATTAAGGGTAATTTGTCTTGCAGCTGCTAACCCTAATGGCGGTGGCAAGTGCCGCCAACTCTGGTCGGGACTACCTGCCACGCCCCCAGGCCAGAGCCTATGTCTACGGCACGCCCCCGCCCAGCACGATGGCCCAGCTGCGGCGGATAATCCAAGGTCACCTGGAGCGCTTCCAGCAGGCTGAGCAGACCCACTTTTCCCGCCGCGCCAACGTGCAGCTGGGGAAATCGGAACTGCCGGCGGAGAGAAAACCGCTGGCGATGCAACTGTGGGTGGTTCGCACGCCCGCCGTTTCCGGCGCGGCCTCGGATAACGTCCTCGATTACGCCCTGCCGCCCAACACACCCACTCCGAAGGACTACGCGCACAAATTCCTGCCCGAGGGCAAGGATGTGGTACCCGGAAGCTCTTACATACCGCTGCGGTTGGTGGTGATAAAGCGCTGAGGCTGCTCGATGAATCTTGGGCGGCGGCTTGCCTTTTGTTGTTCGAAAACAAGTTCCGGCGGAATGCCTATACCCGATACCCGATACTTAATGCCCAACCAGTAGTTGGCTAATTGGCTTTAAGCTTACTGGTTCCTAGCGCTAGTCTGGCAATATTTTAGTTGTTTATGTTAAGGCCTAAGTTCGCTAATCTAAATTAAGGCACCACATCCCGGGGTCCGTGACTAAGACTTCCGACCTTATCCGCATCCAATAAATTCGAAATTAAGACTCAGCCACATGGCGTCGTAAGCTATGAAATACATTCACCAAAAACCAAGTTGTCATCTCATTTACATAAATTAGAAGTCATAAATTTAAAGTGAGCGGGGAACTACTTGGCTCGAAACGGTTAGAAGCTGTATTCAAAACCGGTTAACTTTTATGTGGCGGCTGTAATCAAGAGCTTAAAGCTGTGCTGTGGGGTTTAGTCTTTGACTAAGTTTGAAAAACAAGGCTAAAAGCTCTGTATTGGCTATACCAAAGTTCACCGTTAGTATTTATACAAAAGTAAAATGGCAAAACGTGGAAGTTGCTCTGTACACTAATGAACTCTTCATCACTTTCATATTGAGCCCCAATATTTACATTTAGGTTTTATTTGAAAAGTCTGATGAATCATTATCTTAATGACTAGCCCCTAATCTACTTTTCATGTTCTACGCAAAGGGGTATTATACTCGGTTGCCATAAATACCGGGATTAGAGATTGCAGATTGTATAATCATCCAGCACACATTATGGTGCCATTAATGAATGAAAATTATTTATATAAGTTGGACTTTCCCTTATTTCACACAACTAAGTTTTTGTATTGAATCAAGATTAACCACAATAATTTAGAAATTTAAAGATAGTATGTAGAATTTATATACAATTTGTTTTCCTAATACAAACTTAATAGTAAACTATACTAATCAATACTAAATACTAGTACTGTTAGTTGATGAATGGCTCAGGCCTTGGAAAATCGAGTCCGTGCGCATTTGTATAGTTTCCTGATTTCTCTTCTTGCACGAGTTGCAACAGAGACCCAACCAGGCCCGCTGGTTTTCCTTGTTAAATACTATAAAGTAAAGGAATAAAACGAATCCCTGCAGAGTGGCTGTCAGGCAGAACAAGTAGGCGAAGACCCTTCCAAAACCGAAATAGGTACACAGTCCAAAAATCCAAGTTATGCCCAAGAGAAAAAAGAGCAGCACAAACAGACCCAGTTGCTTGAAGATCAGATCACGTTTGAACAGGGCTGTATAGACACTCCATGAGATGTATCCCACCAATATTGCATTGGCCACCGTGATAAGGCCAATAGGCATTATGACTCCCAGACTTAAGGCATATCCTGAGGGATAACAGAGGATGGGATAGTCCATCGACGAGTTACTGGGCCTGTAGGAATCGGGTTCCAGAAAAACCACCAACAAGGTGGGTATAAGTGGCAATGTCCAGGCCGCTACCGCCGACATTAGTATGTAATGTCGTGGGTGATTGACGCCAATGACCCGGACATATCTTTGATACTGCAGAAATCCAATGATAAACATCCAGCTGAAGACAACCAGCAGTAGATATTGCATCACGGCTCCAACCAAAGTACATCGTTCCGATTCAGATTGCTCCAGCTGCTCCAGCAAATGGCTTTGACTCATGATCAGGAAGAATATCAACTGAAGACCCAGGGCGGTACAGAGATTCAGCAATATCTTCGTGGAGGCTAAAGTGCGGAAGCTCTTAAACACAGCTGCAGTGACAAAAATCATTAGAAGTCCTAGTAGAGAAAGGGTCAAGCCCACATTGGTGATTACATCCAAGGAGTGATCATCTTCATTGGCGTCCAGACCAGCCTGCATTTTGCTGACTCCCAGTAGAAATGTAAACTGGGTCAGATGATCCGCATGGCAGAGTATCACTGGGTGCGATGAGGTCTCCAAGCTGCCTCCGCCGCAGGTGGATATTCCATCGCTAAGCCAGGTCTCATAGTTCCAGTAGCCACATCCGCCCTCAGACTGAGTTTGATTCGCCTTTGCATTGCGCAGGAAAAAAGGCAACTTTTCTGGTAGCTTGTTATCTGAATAGAAGATAATACATTACAACATATATACCTATATTGTTCCTCAAAACACTCACCATCCAATCCTGGTATTGTTATGGATATAACATTACTAGTTGGCCGTCGTTTGATATCCTCTTCCGTCTCCACAAAAAGGGAATCTCGTGTATAGACCTTAAAAACTAAGTAAGAGGCTCCCTTTTTCTTCAGTAGGCTCCACAGTTTATCGGGAATAAAGACCGCACTTTCTAGATTTTCCATGGCCCTTATATCTTCCTCGTTATCCGATAGGTGAAGCATTTCAAAGCGCGACGTATTGCCACCAGAAAAGTTGACTATCCCAGAAACATTTTTCACTTCTGGATCCACAAAAAATACACTGAGTTCGCTCGTCTTTAGAACTATAACACCCATGTCAAAAAAGGGATGGAACGTAAACTCAGTGCTGTTGGCAAAAGAAGTGCTGTTTAACTTTAATATTGACGGACTGAGTTCATCCAAATAATCCTCAAAGTTGCTAAGTAGAGCATTTGTGGCATTCGCGTCTGCTGAAAGACGGAGGGTTTCATTATCTGTAGACATCACTTTTTGGCATATCGTCATCAAGTCCCCTACTACTGTGGCATTTCTTTCCGGTTTTTTGACCAGGGAATCGAAAATCTCTGAAATACTGAAGACATCGGCGGCGGCCAGTTTTTCCTGAGACTGAGTCAGCAGGCTGCTCAGTTGGCTAATCATATCCGGAGGACTCTTCACAGCGAGAAGGTTTATACTGGAGCTGAGTTCCGGTGCCGATCTACAGGTCACGTGATCCAAGCTCTGCCAAACTCTGTTTCCATTTCGAATTTGGCACCTCCGTCGGATGGGAATTCCCCTTTCGTTCAGGCAGAGATCCCTAAGATTTGCCTTTTGGCCAACTCCCGTTTTCTCCACGCGATTGATTCGCTTTTCCTTGCCCTCGTCCGTTTCGTATTCCAGTTCAAAGTCCTCGGCCTTGCAGAATCCTCGGTTGCAGTCCTTGTAGGGATTGTGCGACAACTGACCATCCGCATCCACGCAGAGGAGGAAGCGCAAGTTCTTCAGGTGGCAGTAGTCCAGGCACCTGCCCACATTCGGCTGATCCAGGGCGTAAAGGGGGGGATTTGTGCCTCCAGATACGAGTATTAGGTAGCCAGCAATCCACCAGAGAAACAGCAGCATAGCACTATCTATTTGTACCCAACTTAAGCGCAGGCTGCGATGTCGCACTCCCGAAGCTCCGCGATCGACTGACGGGGCTGAGATAAAATGCGAGTGGCGATAAAACGAGTTTTCCTCTCCTCATCCCTGTAAATAGGGCCTGCAAGAATTGCCACTTTCCTCATTATTCTATGTGGTATTTGAGTTGCCGGTCTATTTCGAGCAGAGCTCAAGGTCAACTGGTTCTCCGGTTCTCTGGTCGACGATAGGAATTGCAGCATTTTCAAAGGTCGAACGGTGGGTTCTTTCTGGGTGTTAAAAATACTTTTAAAATTTCTTCAAATACAAAAAGCCAATCAAAAATCTCTAAACAGTTGGATGAATAGTTTTAAATATTTTCTTATATTACTTTACTTCAAGTCAAACGTCACATGAACCTTTATAATTGTGGGTAATATTTATACAGTAGTACAGTTAGCTTTGAGGGTACTGAACTTCCTAATTAAAACAAGATAGAATGCTGTAGTCGAGTTCCCCGACTATTAGATACCCGTTACTCAGCTAGTGAAAGTGCAAACGAGAAATTTTAATACTTTGTGGAATATCGGTACAAATTGTGTAAAAAAAATTCAACAAAATTTTCTAACGCGTATTCGTGACAGTTTTGGGCAAATTGTGGCCGTTTTCGTAAAATTACAAAAAATTTTTGAAAAAAAAAATTCTAAATTTGAATGCAGATTTTTAGAGAATTGCTTCAGAAACATTTAGAGGTATGCCACTTAAAATTCCGATGAAGATAAGTTGAGTTATGGGGTTTAGAACTTCAGCCTGGGGACATTTCTTAGTATTCTTGAATTTCTACAGCATCATAACATCAGAAAAAATACAAAAAAAAATACCAAAAAAAAAAATTCTAAATTTGAATGCAGATTTTTAGAGAATTGCGCCAGAAACATTTAGAGGTATGCCACTTAAAATTCCGATGAAGATAAGTTGAGTTATGGACTTTAGAACTTCAGCCTGGGGACATTTCTTAGTATTCTTGAATTTCTACATCATAACATCAGAAAAATGACAAAAAAATTAAAAAAAAATATATTTCTAAATTTGGATGCAGATTTTTAGAGAATTGCACCAGAAACATTTAGAGGTATGCCACTTCAAAATCCGATTAATATAAGTTGAGTTATGGGGTTTAGAACTTCAGCCTGGGGACATTTCTTAGTATTCTTGAATTTATACATCATAACATCAGAAAAATGACAAAAAAATTTAAAAAAAATAAATTTCTAAATTTGAATGCAGATTTTTAGAGAATTGCGCCAGAAACATTTAGAGGTATGCCACTTCAAAATCCGATTAATATAAGTTGAGTTATGGAGCTTAGAACTTCAGCGTGGGGACATTTCTCAGTATTCTTGAATTTATACAACATCATATCAGAAAAATGACAAAAAAATTAAAAAAAAAAAAAATTCTAAATTTGAATGCAGATTTTTAGAGAATTGCGCCAGAAACATTTAGAGGTATGCCACTTCAAAATCCGATTAATATAAGTTGAGTTATGGAGCTTAGAACTTCAGCGTGGGGACATTTCTCAGTATTCTTGAATTTATACAACATCAGAACATCAGAAAAATGACAAAAAAATTTTAAAAATATATATTTCTAAATTTAGATGCAGATTTTTAGAGAATTGTGCCAGAAACATTTAGAGGTATGCCACTTCAAAATCCGATTAATATAAGTTGAGTTATGGAGTTTAGAACCTCAGCGTGGGGACATTTCTCAGTATTCTTGAATTTATACAACATCATAACATCAGAAAAATGACAAAAAAATTACCAAAAAAAAAAATTCTAAATTTGAATGCAGATTTTTAGAGAATTGCTTCAGAAACATTTAGAGGTATGCCACTTTAAATTCCGATGAAGATAAGTTGAGTTATGGACTTTAGAACTTCAGTCTTGGGAAATTTTTAGTTTCTACATTTCATCACAATAGAAAAAATACAAAAAAATTAACAAAAAAAAAATTCTAAATTTGAATGCATATTTTTAGAGAATTGCACCATAAACATTTAGAGGCATGCCACTTTAAATTCCGATTAAGAGAAGTGGAGTTATGGACTTTAGAAATTCAGCCTTGGGGCATTTTTTAATTTTTTTGAATTTCTACAATATTATCACATCAGAATACAAAAAAATTGATCCTGATCAAGAGTATATGTACATACTTTATATGGTCGGAAATGCTTTCTTCTGCCTGTTACATACTTTTAAAGTAATCTGGTATACCCTTTTACCCTACGAGTAACGGGTATAAAAAAAAACAAATAACCCTGATAATAAGCTAAGTGGTAATTATCAAATTTTATATATACCAAACCCCTAACAATAATGTTAATTCGTTTATCGCATACAAGCGAGATTCTCTGAATTGATAAAGTTTAATTGGTTCTCTTTCAACACCGTTGCATGCATGGATAAAACTAATAGAACTAACAATTAAATAAAAAACATATTTTTTGTTATTCAGGGTAATAATGGCTACCGGTTCTTATTATTTTTGTTGTTCTCTCAGATTTTTAAAAATGCAACTTTACTTAACACGAACTTTGAGTTGCTAGCTGCCATAAGCATATGCATGCATAGATCGGTAGCTACAGGTTTTCAACACCTATGATAAGCAGCCGCCACCTTTAGATAGTTTCCTAACTGCTAGCTAGAAGGTAAAGATAGAGGTATTCAAATATTTGCATTCAGATAGACGCGAAACATGCGATGATGTTAGACTTTCTCATGAAAATAATGTTCTCTTGTTCAAGCTGTGAAATCTTTATCTGTGGAGATAAGGTGAGCATTTCAATTAAAGAATCTATGGGTATACTTTTTTAGATTTCAAGAAAAGCAAAAATAGCTTTTGTATAATAGATAAAGCCATTTGCCAAATTATTAAGACCAAGCAATTCAAAATACCGAATACCACTTTCTTTTTGTCAGTGTTCTGCGCACAACTCGTTAGAGATGTATTCCATCCGTCGATGGAATTAACGGCGTGAATAATTAGATGCGCTACTTGAATGGCTGCCACCAACATCGTCAATGATCACTTGATATTTTTTCACTTTCTGAGTAGCCACTCAAGTTTGGAGAACTCGCGCGCGCTCGTAGAAACGAATAGAAACTGAATATTTTCCGACAATTTAGAGTCTAAACTGTGGAGAACCCCCGTCATCTGTCAACGGCGGCAGAAGATGAAGCAGAGCTGTAGTTGATGAATTGCTATATGTACTACTGTTCCTATACACCTGTGTTTCAAGTTGATAAGAAAAACTGCTCGTGCTATTCATGGAATTCCCCTCCATTATTGTGTGAACTAATACGACATTTATTATTATTTACATGCCTTACCTTTTATTCTACCACTCAAAAACTTTGAATAACCCTGCTGTAATCTATCCAATCTATGTATTGAGTAGGCGGTGACCTCTGGCACTTGGCTTACAGTTCCTGGAAATGTTTAAGCTCTGGTCAAATTGGAGTATTTAGATTCAATTATTATTGATGCAAATGGAAGACGCATCAATTGAGATATGTCATAATATTGCAAGGATATTATTCACCTCAACTGTGAAGCATTTTCACATCAGACATGTGGACCTCAGGGCGATTGAATTTGAATAAAATGAAATTTGTGCTCGGTAAGCATGTGCTTGTTAGGTAGTAGTAGTAGGAGTAGTTAATAGGTAGTGTAAGATACAAACTCATTTGTGATGGCAGTTCTAGGTAATTAAATAGAAGCGAGCTAACGAGAATAATTATTATTGAGTTGGGTCGTTCAACAATGTTAAACTGCTTAAGAAGGCCATAAATTATGTTTAAAATTTGTCGCTTGACCTACTTTGAGTAGATGTACGTTGGAATACTTATTTCTATGACAACATTTTTGCTCACTTTTCGCTTTGCCTCAGAAGCAATATCATCACTGGCACGTAAAGCGGCACAAAAAGACGCAGGACGAAGGAGCTGCAGAGGGTCCTGCCTTTCATTGTCATAGAAGACATGTTTCGGCTGTGCGGAGTGCTCCGGCAAAGTTGGTTCCACTTCAGGAATTTATTTACTCAAGTGTGATGCGATTATCCTGATGCACTTGTTCTTTGTCTCAATGCGCTAGTTACGCCCGCTGGGCACCGCCCAAAAACAAAAAAGTATACAAAAACGAAACAGAATGGAATATTTTCGTGAGACTCTGGGTGGCGTGTGCAGCAATAGCAATTGAGAGCGTTGCGGCCTCTTAATTAAATGCCAGCCCGATAGTCATCTTCTGCGAACCAAACTTGATTAGAGTCCAGAGCCTGTAAGAATTTCTCTTCTGCAACGTACGCGCTCCATTTCCCAGGCACAATGTCGGCAGGACCTCTCGATGAGTTGGCTGCTTTTAAGTCGCGGTTATCCACAGGTCCATAGCCAGTGCCCACCCAGCTGAAACTGAATCAAAAGGATGACTAGTTACGACCTCAAGTGTCCAGAACAGAAGGTCTTCGAGTCTTAGGTAATCTTTCTTGTACCTTAACTTGTGGATTTTTAGCTTCGGCTAACGTTGTTTCGAAATATAAAAACATTTATCATCCCTATATGTAGTTTGTACCGTTAGTACTTTAGGGTATTTGAGACTTCGTTGTCAGTATTTTGTCTTCCCTTTGGTTTCATGGAAACCATGAAAGGGTGAACGGCTGAAAGGGTAAAAGGGTATCCCGGCACAGCTTTTGTGATTGTCATAGCCACCGGCAGACTGACAATGACTTTGACAGTCTGCAGGCAGCGCATTTACTATGATACCAGGTTACCTGACTGCCAGCTGCTGCTGCTCCTTCAATGTCACCGGCAGCGATGTCCTGTCAGTGAAGCGAATATGCCCCTGCTTTCGCTGGCGGTTGCTTTTTCGACCTGTTTGCGATCCGCGGTGCTGGGGGTAGCGAATAAAAAGGCGCCAAAAGCCACCACAATTAAAACTGGGACAATACATTTAATTATGTTTGCGGAGAGTAATTAATTTATGCTGCGCTTAAGCGCACATGAATATGCGATTGATGCACTCTGCAACGGCCGTTGTTGCGGTTTTCCGAGTGGGTTTGCCTCGCTGTCTTGTCGCTAACAGGTGCTTGTTTAGCCACGCCCCAGTGCGCCCCATTGGCCGACCTTGCCACCTTGCCACATGGCCACGCTACCACCCCACCACCCATCATGCCGCCCACGCATTCAATTTCAATTACTGTACCGTACGAACACTTCTGTTTGCCGTTTGC